CGGCTCGGCGGCGGCGCGGCGCTTCGCCGGGAGCCCTCGCTGGAGCCCGGCTTTCCTCAGCCTCCGCGCGGGGCGGGGGAGACGCACGCACCCACGAGCTGCTCTCTCCGGAGTTAATGACCTGAGGGTTTCTGCCTCCGACCGCTGCCTTCTTTCTTTCTTTCTTTCTTTTTTTTTTTTCTCTCTCAGAGATAAGGGAAAAACGTGGGGAACGGATTTCTTTGGCAGCTCTCCCCGTTAGCTGGCAAAGCCCTGAGTCACTAACCTCACTTCCTTCCCTGGGGTGAAACGGACTGTTTTCTGATCACCTTAGTATCAAAAATGCCATCCGCTGCCAAATCTGGCCAGGCTAGACAACCAGACAAGAGGCCAAAGAAGTTTTATACTGAGAAGCAGCTTGTTCCTCTTTGCAGCGGGGATGTCCAGAGACAAAATACAACCAAAGCGAAAGCTCCCGCAACCCCCCCCGAATCTCCTTGCATCGCAACGGGACATGTGAAACCCAGAGGAAAACAGGCAGGCCGGTTCCCAGGCTCGATACCTGGCTCTAGGAGTCAGACTAAACTGCCTGGCTTTCCCTCCCGCAGCTCCCAGGAAAGTCTCAGAGGTGCGGGGCTTGACGACAAACTCCCACACGAAACAGGGAAGCGGGGAGATTCGGCCGCAGCAAGACGGGAGCTTCATCCCCGCCGCTCTGGGGAAACTTAACCAGGACCCTCGGCGCAGGCTGCGAGGGGGACGCTGGGTTTCTGCGCGGCTGAGCGAAGGCTCCTGGGCAAGACTGATCTGAACAGTCTCTTCAGAAGACGCGTTTTCTTCCTTAAAGGAAGCACACAAGACTCTCATTTCCACGAGGCACTCAAAAGGTTAGAGAAGGGAGAGTCACAGGTGTTCAAAACCATCTACGTGAACTTTAAAAGCCCCAGCCGCACCGCAGAAACGCAAATCAAGGGAAAACGATCACAAAGCAGGGGGCTGGCTGGCGTACTTCACTCCCACCCATGGCCTCAGCCAGCTGTTACATCACGGAACCGGAGGGTGAAAACCACATCTCAAATGTCATATTTAAAAAGGACAATGTCAGAACAACACCAAGCAAAACCCCTCAGCGCTCATTTTCATTGGAACAGGGCACACCCAAGGGTGGGACCTATCTTGCCTCAATAAAATCTATTAAACATTTATCTTTAATAAAGAGATTCAACATGCCCAAGAAACTACAGAAACACGGTGGCACAAAGCCCAGCAGACGCTGCTCCAATCAGTGCCGTTCCCAGACCATCAGCATGACACCGATGTGACCTCCCGCACGCACACGCTCTGCCCTCGGCAGATCTGCTCAGCACCGCGCCAGCAGCAAACCAGGAACCGACGGGAGAACGAGCCCAGCAGCCGGCAGCTACGTGATCACGGCTGGCGCTTTGGGAAGGTGGGATCAACTCCCTGGTGTTGTCCCATGTCCGTGTGTCCTCCCCTGCCTCCTCCTCCCCCTTAAGTCTCCTGGTCCACGGATGGCAGGGCTGTTCTCGCTGGCAGGCCAGAGCTACCCACCTGAGTGCGTTCGCAGGTGGCCAGTGAGCGCGTCCCTCCTGCGGCAGGCGTAGTTGCAGAAGGGACATTTGAAGGGCTTCTCGCCAGAGTGCAGTTTGATGTGACGCAGGAGGTTTCCCTTCTGGGTGAAGGAGGCGCCGCACTGGTTGCAATGGAAAGGCCTTTCTCCTGCAACAGAAGCAGCATGTCAAACTCCCGCTTAAATGCATTCTCCAAGCCTGCTCTCGGATCAACAGCTCAGGAGACCAGAAGCTTTCTTGGGTTCAGGCACTCTGAATGCACTTGAGAAGAAAAGCTCTAGGGTGGCCACCAAACACAGTGCTCTGGACATGACCTCCAACCTGGGGAGTTGTAAGCCTGCTGCCTACTGGAAGATGAGACAGAAGGGAAAGGTCAGCCGCACACTTTCCTGTACTTTTCCCTCACAAACAACTTCCAGCAGCCATCAGCAGAAATACACTTGCAACCTCGCTTTGGAAACTCACTTCCCTCAGCCCGCTCGAGCCCTTCTCGTCCCTGCTAAGATACCCAACAGTGACGGCAACCTCCGGGCTGCCTGCTCACCAGTGTGGCTGCGTTTGTGCACCATCAGCACGTTGGGGCCGATGCACACCATGCCGCAGATGTCGCATTTCAGCTTGCCGTTGGGTAGCCGAATGCCCCCGGGGGAGTGCGGCTCCTGTCCTGTCCCATCGCAGTAGCCCAGGGGCTCCGAGAGCGAGTCCTCCACGATCACGCTGTCTTCCTTCTCGAGCATCCGGTCCTCCTGTGACAGCAGCCGGCTGGCTTCCTCATCGCTGTACATCTCCACTTTGATAGAGTTTGCTGCAAGGAAGCAGAAAGGATAAAAATAATCCATAGAGGGGAAAAAAAATCTTAGTTAAAGAAGTTTGGAGCACAGTTTAGGCAAGACTTACTCCCAAAAGAAACACAGTGATGCATTAAGTGATCTGTTTGTGATAAAGGTGCATCTTCTTAATTTCTTGACTACTTAAGAACAGACATCAAACACAGATCACAAGAGGTTACAGGCTGGATGGCTTGTTTGTACACCCCAAAGATTACTGCCTTGGATTCTGCCTTGTAAGGCGACCGGCTGAAGAAAGAACATTTTGTTCCCTGGATTCAAAGACAGAGGAAAAAAAACACTCATGTGTTGAAAGGACTTCAGAGGAAGCAGAAGACACCACATTTTGACTCTCTGAATCAGTAAAGACTCAAAATCAATTGGCACAAAGTGCCTAATATGAGTCTTTTTAAGATAAGAGTCAGTAAATCTCAGCTCACTAGAGAAAACATTGCTTCACTGCAAGTTTTCATTTATGCTAGAAGACCTGGGATCCATCAACTATTTAAACACATGCACAAGAGAAAAAAAAGGATGGTGCTGCCTGAAAATAACCACTCCTGCTTCAGGCATGCCGATTACTGCCTCGCTGGGCAGCCTGTGGACGTCCCGGCTTGGACCCAGGCTCCCTGCAGGTAGATTTTTGCCTCATCAAGTTCCCTCAAACACATAAAAGGTTGCAATAGTTACGCGGCAGCCGAGCGAGACCGCAAGACTCCCGGCGACTGCCTGGAAACGCACACACGCAGGAAGGAAGCGCACGTGCAGACACCTGCGGGGTAGCGTTTGGGAACCCCAAACGCCAAGAAAGCTTGGGTGATAAACTAAGGAAACGGAGGTGAGTGACGCCAGTCGCTGGGGAAAGGTCCTCGAGCGGTGGGCTCGGGAGCCTCTGCGGAGCCGCAGCCATGCTGCGCTTCTGAGCCAGGCGAGAGCAGGACACGGATGTCGAGAGAAAGCAGGAGACCCGGAGAAACCAGGCTAAAAACCACCACGAGAGGCTACGCTCAACACCTTTTTCTCCGCGGGCGTCTCCGACGCAAAAGGCACGTGCGGGGCCGGGGCAGCGCAGGTCTCGGCGGCGGGCGCTGCGCACATGCTACCTTCCTCTCCTTTCGCAGCATCACGAGCCGAGGCTGGAGAGGCGAACGGATGCGCCAGCCGTGACCTACATTCCTCGCTATTCTAATGATCTGTGGAATGCCACAAATCAAACAGGCCCTAAGACGACACGGCAACTGGACAGCGATCGCTCTGCTTATTCCGTCGAGAGCAAGTTGCAGCTTTATGGGGACTGGGAGAGGGAAGGAGAGAGCAACCTCTCCCTCTCCTCTTCTCCTCCCTCCATCTAGCTCCTGATGAACTTGTCTATCCAGATGCTTCACGCTTCCTCCCTAGGGCGGCTTGGCCAAGTTTTGGAGCAGTTATCCCACCTCGTAACGCCAGCTGTACCCTCTGCTCGAGAGGGAACTGCCACTGGGACATCCAAAGCCTCAGCAGAAAGCTGCTCGTTTGGAGAGCAAGTCTTTAAACGATCACATCGGAAAGCTTCCTCCTGCTTTAACCAATCGTCAGCAGCCAAGAACCAGAGGGAATCCCCTCGGGAGACTCCCCAGCACGCTTCAGCCAGGGACAGCCGCTTCTTAGTGGATCACATCCGCTACCTGTCCCTACAGCGCTGGTCCTGGCAGGCTGCAGCAGGCCGACAAAGGAGTAAAACTGAATCCTGGTCACCCACATGGCAGTTCACTGCGCCCACAGACTTAAACAAAACATTTACAGAATCCCTTTAAATATCAGATTCTTAGTTCTTCCATTTAAAGCAGGAGGCTCTTCCCAATCCCTTAAGAGGAGAACTGTGGGGGCTGGAGGAAACTGAACTTTATATACACAAAGGAGACTTTGCTGCTGCCTGGAGGGTAGGAGATTACAGAGTCCAAGTTGCCTTGTGGAGACAGGCGTGAGAACCAAGCAGACTGAACATAACCACACAGAAATCCCAGAAGCTTCCAGATCTGATGTTGACTCGACCCCTGGGGCTTGTTCAACTCATCTCTTTGTGAAAGAGTGAATTCTTACCCACTCTTCAGGGGACATGGGAGGCTCACTTGATGTTTGTGACACCGAAGATAGAAGCGCATCAGCCACAGAGATTGAAGAAAACCTTGGTAACATCCTGGATACCGTATGATCAAGGGGATTTGACCTTTAAAGCCTAAGGGCTTTCTGAGCAAACTATAACACAAGTTTAACGTAAAGCTGCAGCAGGGATGATCCTTTCCGGTGGGTGAGCAGGAAGGCCGCGGGTTGATTACCAGGCAAGGGGGATGCACAAACACCCGAGAGGGGAGATGGTGGCAGCAGGAGACATTTCAGTTGTGGGGCGGCTGCACCTCCTGCTTCCACCAGGAAAGACGGACATGCAACCCCAGAGAAGAAAGCCAAGCCACACACTTTGAGAGGAAAAGATCTCTTTTATGCTGCCTTTAATGCGACAGGCAGGAGGGCTCTGGCTCTTCCTCAAAGGCTAGGTACAGCTTTGCTTCGCAAGCAGGGATTAAAAAGCCCGGGAGCGATTCATCTGAGCTTGTGTTAAGTTTATTGCAGGGTGAAGAACCCAGGAATTCTGGCTCTCGCTCCCCTCCTTCTCTTCCTGGATTCTTGTAGCAGACAATGTTGCATTCCCAAAGAGACTCTCAGCAACGTGAACTATGCATACACCCAGGCTTTGGCAATCGGAGGCACTTTCAGGCCGTCTGCTGAGCCACCGGCCAAAGCCACTGCTGGCTGCAGACCGGAGGAGACTCTGCAGCTGAAACATTCTTGGGGGAAAAGCAGAACTTTATTTATTTATTTGTTGGTGCCACCGCACTCCGCTGGGAGCATCCAGGAGAGCCAGCGCAAACGGATGCTTCTGTGCACAAACATGAAGTGAAAAGCTCCTCTCGCGGTGGCAGGAGCTGCCTGGGCGAGTTGACGTTTGCTGCACTTTGATTTTCTTTTTTTCCACTCCCCTGGGGACTTATTTTTTTCCTGGGCATAGAAGGGAGGACAACTATTGTTCTGTAATTCTCCTTTCAGAACCAATGCAGAGTCCGGTCTCACTGGAGAGAAGTCTCTGCTGGCAGAACAGGTTATATAATATTCTTGCTCCTCTGGGGCACGATGCTTGCTGGATGAACCAGCTGTGAAGTCAAGTCAGATCAGAGGCAATACCATCACTAGCATCCTGCTGTTAAAGGGGAAGAGATCTTTATTGTCCTTTCAGTCAGTCCATGTGCTCAATTCCTTTTGCTTATGATCAAGTGAAAAAGCGCCGTGTTATGTCTCAGAACTGTCCTTTGCAAAAATCTAAGATTTCATTTCTTTGCAGAGCTTCTAAGCACTTGTATAGGGCGAATATAAAATAAACAGCAAGCAATAAAAGGAAAAATGGGAACAGAATGAATATATAATATCGCCCCCTCTGAAAATGTAGTTTTGGGGGTTTATTTTATCCTGGTTCACAAAAAGCAACCTTCAAGTGCCAGGACCTAACCAGAGGGGTCCCAATGAACTAACTGCTGGAAGCACACTTGGATAAATTACGGGGGAGTTTCTCTGCTATGGAAGAGCAACAGCAATTATATGCTAAAAGGTGGGAGAGAGGGAGGATCAGAGCAATACCTGAATCTTTTAGATATTCGTTGAGTCAATCTGTAAGAGATGGCCCAAATGTCAGCTCTTGACTACAGAGCACAATTCAAAGCAGGACTTGCCAACTATCTTACCTCAGCACTACTTTTTTCATGTGTCAACACCACTTAGCAATATATAGGACCCAGGAAAACTTGACTGCTGCCCCAAGAAGACTGCGATGTAAATAGCATCTCAACAACTTACATCTACGTCAGCCTTGCCAAACTCATCTAGGGTCGTGCCACTTTTCAGTGCACAAGTGAAACGTTGCATTTCTCGTCAATCACCACAGGAGTGATGGGACTGGACTGCGCGCCTCAACCAGTAACAAACTGTGACAACTTTGAAACCAGACCTGCCCATTACTGGTGCAGGTTCTTAAATAGAACCTAAAAAGCAGTTTCATTCACTTAAAAACAGAAAGAGAGAGATTTCAGTCAAGAGGCAGGGAAGGAGCTGGGAAGTTTCATGTTACGGACAAACTTGTGGATAGGAGAACAAAATGGTACAAAGTGGCTATGGGTAAGTTAAGGCTGGGAGCTGGTGTTTTCCAGCCACCCTGTCGCAGTAGTGGAAGTGAAAACTGAAAACGGAGCTCAGCATCTCCATGAGCAGCCTCACACACAACTGAGGTGCTCTGGGACCGCTGTCCGGGACCAGCTTCATCTGACATGTTTCAAGGCTGAAAAGAGCAGACAGAGGCAGGAGGAATGCAGCTTCTTCCTTTTGTCACTTGAAGAGTCACCCAGTCCGGACCTGGCTCTCCCCAGCACCACTGACACGCAACACCTCCTGCGTCCTCCCCGCTCTGCGCGTTGCTCTTTCGCTCGGACGGGGTTCGACACCCTGGACTCCCAGGCTCTCCGCGACTTGCTCAGCAAGCTGGGACGTGAAGGACAGCTAGGCAGGCTCCAGGCGCCCACCAGCTGTAACCCTGTCCCGAGGGCAGAGCTACTCGCGTCCAGAGTCATGTTCTCTTGCAGAGATCTTGTTTCAGGTGGACACCGCTAGCTCTTTCAACCGCTTGCCTTGCAGTGGGATGGCTAGACACATCCCCAGGTAGGAGGCAGAAATGCTCTCGGTGCCTTTCAACATGCACAAGAACTCTCAGAATCTACCACAGCTACAAAAATAATTTCCCAACAGACTCATTCATGTAGAGGCAAAAGGCTGCTGCCCTGTGAAGGGCTGTGCAAGCCACAGACTCCAGCCTGTCCCAGCTACGAGGCAGAGAGGATGTGGAGAGGCTTTTCAATTTCCCACATAGCCATCTAGACTGATACAACAAATAACTTATTCCAAAGCAACCAACAGCTTTGCTGCCCCTTCCGAGCTGTTGTCATTACCAGTCTGCAACATGCAGCTGCTTGAAATCCCAGGTGAAATGCACAACCACACTGGGAAGAAAGACCACACGTCCCGGGCGTTGCCACAGCTGACTCCAAAACTCCAGGCTCTGCAGCAGTCAGGTGTCCAACGCCCAGGATAAGTAACCTGGCAGCTGCTCCACTCGGAGACCAAAGCAGGGTTTTTATCCTCTTCGGTTGGAAGACAAAGAGTCAGACTTAGAAAGAAATCTGTCACAGCGGGAAGTCAAAATTTATGTCACGCCTGAAAGAACGCAGGGTTTGGGTACAAAGCAGGCAGGTCTAGACGCTGCTTGCAGTGAAGGCAGCGTACTCACCGCTGAGCGAGCGGCTCGGGGAGGAGTGCTGGCTGTTGGGTGTGCTCACCGTGGGTCCCACAATCGCCGAGCTGAACTCCTTCTCCAGAGAGGAATCTCCACTACCTGGGGAGACAAGGAGGGGAACGCCAATGAGTTAGGCCTGACGCACGGCTGCCGTTGGCCTCACTCAGCCAAATCCTCTGCCCAGCAGATCCCCCTCCTCCTCCTCTTTGGAAAGGGGCTGCTGACGGACCCCTAAGGGGCCGTTCCCTAGGCGGTGCTCAGGCAGGAGCGAGACTCGTTCTGGAACACAGGTTTCTATCCGTTACTGCCTCAAAA